GCTTGCCAGGCAGGCGCTTTTGCCGCTGAGCTAAATCCCCAGCCCTGTTTATGCTCTTAACTGAATGAGCACATCCTACAACATGTTCTTGAGAAAGGGGAGACAGAAGGAGAGGTTTTGGAAACTTTGCATGCCTGAACAATTATCTACTCTATCTCACCCTTGATCCATAATTTGAATAGGAATCTTAGGTTGAAAATCACTTGCCTGTTTTTCTGAGTGGATTCTTAATTTTCTACTAGCTGCTGTGCTGCAGTGGCATGCCACCGCCATGCTACCTGCTGGCCCTTTCCTGTGGCCCACTGTCACAGGGACTGTCTTGCCTTGGGCCCGCTGGAGGGCCCTTTAAACCTGAAGACGCATGTTCTTCAGTTCTGTGCATTTCCTTATGTTATTTCTTTTGTCATTTCTGCTACTTTCTGTTTTCTCTTTCTGGAAAGTTCTGTTAGTCAAATGTTTGAATCTTGGGCAGTTTCTCTAATCTTCTTGTTTCTTCTCTCTTGTTTTCCATTTCTGTGTCTTTTAGGTCTCATGTATGGATATCTTTATCATTTGCTCTTCCAAACCTTCTCAAAGGAGCCCTTGACCAAGCTTTGAGTGTAGTCTGTAGGGACCGAGGTCAGGTAGCCGGCCATGGCTGTGGTCCAGGTGAGAGATCACAGTGGCTCGGGCTGGCACAGTGGTGCGGGTTGGTGCTAGAGTGCTGGACTCCCTAATCCCCTCCTTCCTTCCACATTCACACCCACAGCAACCGAATGAGTGGATGCTGCCCTGGCCTCCTTGTCAGTCTGTTATGATCACTCAGAAATGCTACATTTTGTTCAAGTATTTCTGGTCTTCATTTGCTTTATGCTAAAAATCTACCTGTGCAGTGTTGCTTTATAGAATCCTATTATCAATGACTGTTTTTGGCACTTAGATTGACATATCACAGTAATCCATGCATACTCATGTTTATAGTACCACAACTCACAATAGCTAAATCTTGGGAGCAGCTTATATGTCCACCAACAGTTGAATGGATAAAGAAACTGGTATCTATGTGCCATGGAGTTCTACTCTGTCATAAAGAACAAAGTAGAGTCATTTGTAGGAAAATGGATGCACCTTGAGATCATAATATTAAGTGAAATAAATCAGACACACAAGCTTAAGTATTGCATGGTTTCTCATATGAGAAACCCAAAGTATAAATAAAGAGCAAAAGAAAAAAAGATAGATCATAGGAAGTGGTGAGATAGATCCTTCTCAAATGGGAAGGAGATCAAGAGAGATGGAGGGAGGGGGAAGAGAGGAAGAAAAGTGGAGGAAAAAAGGAATTGGTGTGTGTCATGTAAATATACCAATTCCGCACAAGGGATGTAAGCATTATACACTGCAAACATGGGCCAATAAAAAATAAACTTTATAACTGGTAATTCTAAACTTTATAGGTATTTATAGGTATTTGTTGTCCTCAGTTATTTTAAACCATTCTACTTCTTTTTCAAAAGATCTGCTTTTTCTCATAAATAAAATTATTGGCATGATAAGTTTATTCTTTTGTCTGTTTTAATATATTTTAAGACAGATTTTAAACTTTTCTCACCAATTACCCAATTGTTTAGATCTGGAGTATACTTAATCAGTCTCCCTGAAAGGGACCTTCCTCATTTTTTAAAGAAAGTAGAATGTCAGATTATTTCCTTTGAGTGTTCTTTTTTTCCTTCTTAATTCTGTGATTCTGATGTGTATCATTTTAGTCATTTTCCGTCACTGGGACAAAATGCCTGATACCCACAATTTAAAGGAGAGATTTAACTTGGCTCATGGTTTTGGGGTTGAGTCCATGGTTGTCTGGCTCCAAAGTAGAAACCACATGATGGAGGGTATGGGAGAGGAAAGCTGCTAACCTCATGACAGCCAGGAAGCAGAGAGTAAAGGGAGCCAGGAAGCTGGGGAGGGAGATCCACCCTTTAAAGGCACGCGCCCAATGACCCACCTCTTCCACACAGGCCCTACCTCCTAACAGCGCATTTAGCTATGGATGAATCCACTGTTGATTATGGAGGCCCCATGATCCAATCACCTTCCAGAAGCCCTACCTGTGAGCACAAGAGACTGTCAGAGAACATTCTAGATCTGAACCACATCATCTATGTATTGCTCTTGTCTTTTATTTTAAAAAGTAATGTTCTATGAAGGCAAGCACACATGTAGTAATAAAAAGCAGTTTAACTTCATTCATTTCATGAATGACTTACTCCTACTCCAAAGCAGCAGTGAACACTCTAATAAGACTCTAGAAACCTTGCAACTCTGGTGGTCTTTGCTGCAGGAGCCTGTTTCTTTATCAGTAAAATGGGAGCAAATATTTACCTAAGTGGCTCATGAGCTGTTATTGCTCCTTGTTTTATTCACTTCAGACTCTACAATATCTAGTGGAATCTTAGCATACTGTAGGCACTCAGTAATGTTGAGTGCACTCAGTAATGTTGATTGTATCTCTAGAACTGCAGAGATTCCTACGAAAAGCCTACTATTTGTACCAAAGTAATGGTTCTCAGATTTTAGACAGCAACAGAATCATCTTAGAAATTTTCCTCAGAGTAGGACTCAGTGGTCCCATTTACAGGGGTCCCGATTTGATTGGTTTAGGCTGCAGTCCAGAAATCTGCATCTTAAGCTTATCACTGAGATGATTTGGATAGAGGTGGTTTGAGGACTGCATATACACTTTACAGAAGCGTTCTCTTTGACCCACAAATAAAACACCAAACCAAGCAAACCTTGGGGAAGAGGATATGGCTCAGACACCAGCAAGCACATTGATTTGCATTGAATTAACGTATTCAATAGTTCATAATTCCCCGCATTTCTTTACATATACTCAAAGCCACCAAACTTGGGAAAGGCAGCTGCACTACCTGATACAGAGGCAGGAGGTTTAAAATTTTATTGGCGGGTCATGGAGAATGCTTTTCAATCAGTTTTCCTACCAGCATGGGAGTGAGCAGCTCTAGCTAAGCACCAGGTACAGCAGCTGGTTTGAGCTTAAATGTGACCATATCTGTATCATCTATATCTAGATCTATCTGTATCATTTATATCTGTCTATCTGTATCATCTATATCTATCTTTTTCTACCCATTTATTTATATATTATGAGTTTCCTATTTCTCACAGTGAGGCTTGCAGAGTCTGAGACTGGTTGAAGGAAGGCCGATCACGGGCCAAACTTCCAGCATCATTTGTTTCTCTTTTTGCATTTCTTGAGTGCCTAGAGGAGAATGCACACTAGGTGCCTATGTGAGGGGTGTCACGGTGCAGTACAGATATCTTGCTAACAATGTAAATATTGTATTTTTTTCAGGAGGAAGAAAACAGAACTTAGACCCCAGATTCTTACTAACCAAAGAGGACTTTGTATCTAATTTTGATATTTTTAAGAAAGTAAGTTGGCCTTCACTTATCTTAAACGGGGAAACTGGGCTTTCTCACCCGATAGTGCAGTAGTTAGTTCTCAGCCTCTCCCTTGAACAGGATGGGCAGGGGAGGTGTACATCCCATCCTCCGATCATCATCTGGTCTGTTGCAGAGCTCTGTCTTCCCTGCTGATCTACAGTGCGTTCGTTGTACAGCTCCTTTGCTCAGTGGATTACAAAGCTGTGATAGAGAAATTGAAACAGCAGTAGCCATTATTTAGCATTTCTTTTTTCCAATCACCCCATTAACAATTATTTTTTTTTTTAGAAGGACCATGTTTTAAGCTACAAATCTCATCTGGTGGGAGATGGCGGAACTGATAACCCTGCCTTCAACCACGTGGAATTGAACTTCACAGATCAAAGTGGCAAGGTCAATGGAACGCGGCTGTGAAGCAGTTCTACAGGAGAAGATTTTAAATCATGTCTCCGTTTTATATGTTTTGTTGGGTAATGGGATCAGAATCAGATTTTTTTCCTGTCTAACGTGCGTGTTTTGGGGGCCACGTTTTTGTTAAGGTCAGGTCCTGACGTTCTCCCCCTTCTACAGTGATTACGGTACTCTGGAGTTAAGAGTTTGAACATCAGCATTTCCCTCTCTATTCTGGGGAAGTGGGGGCTGGGGATTTAGCTCAGTGGCACAGCGCCTGCTGCCTGGCAAGTGCGAGGTAGTGAGTTCGATTCCCGAGAAAACAAGCAAACAAACAAACAAAATATTCCAGGGAAGTGCAGTTCTGACTACATATATACTGTAGGGCTACACATACATATACATGTGGTACTTGATGGTCAAAGGCATGTTCTTAAATTCGGGCATTATTGAAAATATTTTCCATGCCGTTGGTGCTAGCGTAAAACTTTCGGCATTTGCCAAAATCGTAATCAATGTTGCAAAGAGCTTTCTCTCTCCTACCACATACTCTGTTCTTAGGGAGAAATGAACTGACAGGTCTGTGTTGTGGGGGGCTTATTGGAACTGATTCTGGCTCAGGAAGGTGGGAATCAGGAAAGGGAGACCCAGACGACCAGGGCCTCTTGGATTATTCCTTGTGCCTTTGGCTTGTTTTCTGAGGTGCCCGGCCTTTGGCTGCTTGTATTACCTAAGACTGTAGTTCCTCTCAACATTCCTAGTTTCTGAACTACAAATTTGTCTTCCTAGTTTCCCATTTACCTTGTTGCCTCGGGCTTGGATATGTCCTGATACACCCAATATGAATCACGCCACACAGACCTTGGTTCAAAAGTCCCAGCCTGTAAATGATAAACTCTCATGAGTCTGGTACTGATTGAGGTATACTGATGTGGGTTCTTACAGATTTGGTGACCCAAGAAGATTGTATTTTTAAAAATGGTTAAGTTCAGGGTTAGGGGTGTAGCTCAGTGGCAGAGCACTTGCCTAGCACGTGCAAGGCCCCGGATTCCATCCCCAGCACTGAAAAAAAAGTTAAGTTTCATGAGCTTAGCTGGTTTTACTTAATGCTATTGAGTTAAACATTGGAATGTCAACTAATTTGCAGTCATTTAAATTGATTGATGGTACCTATGTTTAAAAATGTTGAAATTTTAGTATATTCATGTAGTTAAGAGTCTAAATTAAATACCAGGTAGCACAATATATTTTAATGTACAAGACTTACTAAATATCTGCTTTGTTTGAAGTTTTAAAATTTCACATAGCAGTCTCAAAGTTGCTTGGTTGTTTATATTGCTATGTTCTTAGCTAAGAATTTAGTATAAGATTTCCTCAATAACTTATTTTTCTACAATAACCACATTCATGTTTAAAAGTTTTAAATTTTTTTAAAAGGATGAAAGAAATATTTAGAAATATAAAACATATGTCTGTGTTATAATTCAGTAAATTTGTGCATATTTTCTGATCTACTTTCTTTGGGAAACCATGCTCTGTACATATGGAGGTTGCTGACATTAAGAAATAAATAAAATAGGAAGTAGCATATCGCTAGAGTACGAGATTTACAAGGCATTTATATTCACTATTTATTAATATATTTCTTATGTATATAAATGCTGTTTTTAATCCTATACTTGTAAGCAAACATCACATTTTACACATCTTTCCACGATGTTTTAATGAGCTATAATCTTGTTTGTTGTATGCTACTGTGATTTGAACAGCAGTTATTTAAGAATTCTAAATGCATATGTTTGTAGAGTGATTCAATTTTGGAGAACAAAATCAGGGTCTTTAAATAACTTTTTCTCTTAGCTGACTGCTTAGAAGTTAGGCAATGAGGTTTTTTTTTGGTACTGGAAATCGAACTCAGGACCTCATGCTTGCCAGGCAGGTACTGTGCCACCGAGCTATACCTCCAGCCCTGGGCAATGTGTTTTAAGTGAGAAACATAATACTTTCATTCTTGTCCATATTCTTTAATGCAAAGTATATCTTTGTGACTAATGAGACTCTTAGTGTTTCACCTTTACAGACACATAACAGTGCCAGATAGATTTCTTCACAAAGCAATGTTGCTAATTAAAAATAATTGATATTAATTTCTAAATTCTGGTGGTAAAACATTAAAATATTATAGTGGAAAGTACGTAGTCTGCTTCTCTTCATTTTGAATCACAATAACTCAATAGCAGAAAAAGTCACGCAAATTGTCGATTTTTTTTTTTTTTTTGCCACTGATGAGTTCGGTACCCTTGAATTGACCCTTAAGTTTATCTAATTATGATATACAGCTTTAGCCCTTGCCTATCTGACAAAAATAATGTGAGTATAAAAGATCCGATTGGTCTCTATGGCAGAATACCACTGTATTAACTCAACTAGCATTACTAACATTTCAATAAGATTAAGATCAAAATCTGAGACAAAAGCCCCTTTCCAGTTTTTTGAAAGATGAGCTGCTTATAAGTTGTAATATGATATGGAGATAGTGCCGCCTCTAAAACTACGTGCCATAGGAATATTAAAATATATTTAGGAATCAGCAGGATCATTCCAACTGAGTAAATGTTGACTTTAAAAAAAGATGTAGCTCAATCTTATTCACAGAGGAATGAAAATTTTATAGGTAAGATCTGAAAGAGTATACATCCATGTTCATCTATGTAGTTGCTTACACAGTCATTTTCTCTATAGACCAACAGCTTCCAAAAAGGCCTGTTATACTCCTTAGGGGACATTTTTGGTGGTCCAGTGGGGTATCTGGCACTGGCCTCTGGTGAGTAGAATTTAGGGAAACTGCAGGCAGCTAAGTATCTTATGAGATAGGTCAGCTAACCTCTCTACCCCAAAAATGACCCAACCCAGATATCCATGGTGTGCAGTCTGAGAAACCTTGCCCTGGGGGTGAACGGTCAACTTGCTGAAGTCACACAACCTGCTAGTTTTCCTTCAGGAACGTGGCCTGACACTGTCACAATGGCCTGAACATTGTCATCTAAGGGTAGCAATGAAAATACCAGGTTCATGTAGAATGTCAGGGGGCAGAATAATGACCACATAGTTTTATAACATTTAGAAAATACTAAGGGCTGTAGAACTGTGAATACTATGTAAACCAGTCTTTGAACAGCTTAGCTTCTCTATTAGAGGTGATTTCTAAGAGTAAAATACATTAGGATGAAGGAAATATTAAGGGCACAAATGTGAAGATTTTATAATTTCATTTTATCTATCAAAACCAAGGGAAGAATAGGGTTTTTTTAAAACAATAGAATGTCCCATGACATAGTCACCTGGGACAGAGCTGAGATTGAGATGGAGCAAGGAACTCTCTGGATTGATTCTTACAGAAATTTCTGAGGTTCTTTCCTATGAAGACTGTTGGTAAAGAGTCACCTGAGGGGTTTGGAGTGTAGCTCAAGGGTAGAGCACTTGCCTAGAATGCCCAAGGCCCTGGGTTCAGTCTTTCACATGTCCAAAACAGACAGATGGACAGACAGACAGACAGTCAGACAGGCACAGACAGACCAAAGTCAAGTGGATGTATGACCATTTAGTTACTTAACATTCATTGTATGCTTTTAGATTTAAGCACTATGCTCCTTGTTCATGAAAAGCTTGAAAGAGTTGAACATTAGTAAAACATGATTAGAAACCTGATTTTTTCAGGTTGCTGATCGAACTACAAAAAAACCTTGCAATCATCTGTTCTCTTGCAGACTTTCAAATTCTGTCTTTGTCCCATGCTTTTGACAGTTAGGCTGTAATATGCCTGGGGGAGAGGATCTTTTCTGGTCATGTCTATTTGGGGATCTGTAGGCCTTTTGTACCTGGATATCCGTATCTTTCCCAAAAGTGGGAAAATTCCTGCTGTTATTTCATTGAATAGTTTTGTAGTCCCATAACCTTTATTTCTTCCCTTTACATTACCTCAGTGATGCAGCCATTTGATCTGTTAATATTACCCTTCAGATCTTGTATGCGCTATTCATTTTTTCCCCTTTGTTTTTCCTTATTTCTATCTGAATGTGATACTGTGAAAGACCAGTCTTTAAACTCTGACATTCTTTCTTCCACTTGATCTACTTTGGTGCTGAGATTTTCATTTGGAATCTGTTACTAGAGAGTTATGATGGTTCATATTTCTTGCATTACTATTTGAGACTGGCACATCTAGTGGGATGGGTATCTCTACTACTTTTATGGATTGACTTTTTTGGTAAGTGGCTTCCCTCTGGAGATGTGTCTTGAGATATGGAATGTCTATTCCAGCTGGGTATCATAGTATAATCTTGTAGTTTCTTTGACTGTGATTAGGGAGTTTGGGCCATTGTGAGCCATACTGGCTTGGAAAGATCACTGTTTCTGTGAGTTGGACAGAGAGGGGCAGCCTAGCAGCTCTGGCAGGTGTTGTACAGAGAGCAGGTGTGTGAGGTGCACCTTGTGTGGTTACAGTGGGAGTGGTGGCCCCTATTGGGCGATGAGCATTTCTTTAGAAACTGTGTGTGTTTCCTCTGTCACTTGAATGGGACTCTGACATTGAGCTGTCTAGTGGTGGTGAGGGGCTTGAAGCTCTTGTGCACATTAGCACAGATCCAGGTATTTGGGGAGAAGGAGCGGTAGGAATCATAGCTCAACCCCTCTGACACTCATGCCCACTTCTGACAGTAGTGTGTGATCAGGCAAGATGTGGAGGTGACCGGCACAGGGGACCAGTGTAAACGCAGTGGAGATAAAGTTCACTTACTCTTCTGTGCTTCTCTGTGGCCATCCCCAGGAGCCCTCTCGCTGTGCATGTCTAGGACCAGGGTGGTGGCTGGGCGTTCCCCTTATCTTTTAGTTATAGTTCCCACAAGGGGTGGAGCAGAGTGGATCGTGCCTGGAGCAGGTAAAATTCTCAGCTGAGGTTTTCACACATGTGCGTGAGCGGGGAATGTACTCCTTCTCGGGGCTTTGTGTCAGAGTCACTCTGCCAGGCCAGCTCTGGCTCATGGGGCAGCTGCCTCCTGAGCTGGTGCCGTGGCTGCCTGGGGGGTGCTGGAGATGGGAATATACGGGGCTTCTAGCCCAATTCGGACAAAGCTCCCTTCTCAAGATGGTGCCCCGTGGGTTCAGTGGAAGATGGAGTGAATTCCTTTTCCAGAGCAGACTGCTGTGCAGATTTCTGGCCTATCTACTTAGGGTGCAGACCTGCAAGGACCACAGAATTTCCCGTAGTTAAGATGACCAGTGTCTGTGCCGGTAGAGTCTACAGGGACTCTCTTTGCCTTTTCCGCTGTGGAGGGCAGACTCGCATCTCCTGGCTGAGGAGCTGGTGTGGCAGATGCTGGGAAATGTATCTCTTGCTACACTGTGGTCTCAATTCTGCGAATGCACAAGGTTTCTGTTTCTCTGTGATCAAATTCCAGTGTTTTCCCATGGCCACTCAACCCGCAGCTCTCCCTGCTGCTTTGTTTCTTCTCTAGGTGCTTCCACTTGGCCACCTTGTCGATCCCATGCACACCCCAGGCTCTCACCGCTTCTGTTCAAACCTGATGGTGAACATCTTCACTGTAATTCTCCAGGGTTTCATACATCTGATCTCCTCAGCGCGGAAAGGTACTTTGCGATGTGCGTAGCGGTCCACTTTGGTGTCCCCACGGGGAGAGGAGCCTCTTCTGCAGCCACATCTTGCTCCACTGTCCCATTTGACAAGTGGCCCCAGCTCTTGAGGGTCCCATTACCTTCCAGTAGTGCCGGACTGAGGAGCGAACCTTTATCCCAGGGGCCTTTGGGGGATGTTCAGGTCCGAGCAAAAGCAGTTGCTCTTATTATTGAGCATGGTGTTGTTTACTTCATGTTGTCCTCCAGCAAAATATCAGCTCCAGGGGGCAGGAGTTTTGCTGGTTCTGTTTAGTGGTTTCTTCAGTAGCTGGAAGAGCACGGGCCATACAAGGCACTCACTGTGAGTCAGAGTGGATGCTTTTGGCCATGTGGTGATAAAAAGAACTTGCTTCTGCAGGGGTACATGGGGTGTTCACATCAACCCCGACCAGATGTTTCCAATTCTGAGACTCAGCATTAGGGAAACTTCATTACCTGTTGTGGTTAGCCGGGTCATGCAACCACCTTTAACTGATGATGTCAGTAACATCACAATAAAGAAAAACTCCATTCTCTACCATCGCAGAGGTTGTAGTCTAATAAAGCAGGTAGACCAAAAAGAAAAACACCAAGTAATTACAGTAAAGTGTGCTGAGCATTGCACCTGGAGCGGTGTAGCACAGGGGCCTTGTGAGGCATTGTGGAGCGGAGTTCTAGGAACATACAAGGAACTCAACCCGTTCCTGGAACTCCTTCTTGACTCCTTCCTGACCAAGAGAGGTAGAAGCCGAGATCTGGAAGCTGAAGAGCCAAGCAAAGGAGAGGAGGGGAGAGCCCGCAAGGCCAAGGGAACCAGCACATTCAGAAGGCTAGAGGGCAGAGAGATCCTGGTGCCTGGGATGGGTTTGGATAGAAGGCAGCGATCTAAGAGATGAATAGTACCATGGGTAGTGACAAAACTGGTGGGTCATCTTAAAGATTTTAAGGTTTTAGCCGTGAAGAATTTGAAGTAGATAAACCCGACTAGGAAAGCTGCACCAAAGTGCTTTGTGCTGTGACATAATCAGCTGATTATGTCCACAGGGGCAGGAGTTTTGCTGGTTCTATTTAGTGGTTTAAGGGATGGTAACTGTTTAGTGTTTTAGGGGATGGTCACTAACATCGCAGGAGCTGCTGCTCACCTCCCTTTCTGCCAGAGTGATCATCTCTAACTGATGGCTTGAGTTGTGGAGTAGGTGAGAGTAATTCAGACTCTGATAAGATAGTGATTAGCCTGGTGGTCTGCAGAATCAACCCAGAATATCCCATCAACACAACAGACTACCCCAACGGAATCAACTGGGTCCTTGCTAGAATTGGAAGCTCTCAGACGTACTTTAAACCCGCGGAATCAGCAACATTGGCGGCGAGAATCAGGTGATTCCCATACATGCTAGAGTTTGGAAACTGCGGGAGTAGATGCTAATGATCATTGGTAGGAAAAACAAACTGGATGTATAATTAGAAACACACTGGCTATAAATGACTCCTTAAAAGGGGAGTATCGCCTCTACTTTGTTAGCAATGTTTCTTCTGCATATTGGATTTTGGCCCACTCAAAGGAACATAGCCTCTTTTAAATAGTGAAGTCTGAACTAGTGGAAACTAAAGATTACTTCCTTAAAGGTTAATGTGTGTGCACATAGGGTATAGTGGTACATAGAATCCCATGGATAACAGCTTCAATATGTGTACCCCCAGCTGGCCATTGAACAGAATCTAAATTGCATTCTACTCAGGTAATAAAACAACCAATGGAATAAAATATTGTTAGGCCAGCCTTCCTTATTTTACTGTTGAAAATATTACAAAATGAGTGAATCCTGACTATTAATGAGTGACCTGGAGAAATTACCCCCTGGTTGGGAATACAGTCTGGCTTGGGGCTAGAGCAGGTTTAACTCCTTTACTAAAGTAGAGGATTATGTGAAATTCAGGTCTTAGGCATTTTTCACATTGAAATTTGTATTTTTGGGAAAATGAGTTCAAACGGATGCCATGCCACACACAAAAGTGCATCTCTCATTTAGGTTTACTTAAGAAGCGCCGAGAACTCAAGTGTAGGCTTCACACTGTGACAGGCAAGGGGGACAGTGAAGGTGGGTTTCTTGGCCATTGTCACTTCCACGTCATCTGGGGCTGTGGGGTCAGATGTGGGGGATGGCGGAGCGCAGGGAAAAGTGCCTGCGTGAGGAGAGCCCTTAGTGAGAGGGGAGCCCAGGGCCAGGACTCGGGAATTGTAGTTTTACAGGGTGACACTGAGTCACCGAAGCACGATGTGTCACTTTCCTTTGCTTAAGTACACATCAAGATTTCCATTCAGAATAACTGGCTGACATAAAGTATTCCCGCTTCCCATGCTTAACCCTTCTTGACAACTATTTGGATAACTTTATGTCCAGAATCAGTCCTTTCCTGACAGCTCCGGTTTTAGCAAAGATTAGAGCGTGAAGTAGCATATTTTTAATACTTTACTCTTATTAAGACTCATACGATCTGATTACTGAATCCTGAAATTATGGCCTACTCATTTATGCCTTATTTTTAAAATGTTCAAACTATCAAGATGGAGGGAAAGAGTGAATCAGAAGCGTACGCTAATATTTTTCTGGCTATGTTGGTTGTTTTTTGCATGCCTTCATCCAATAAAGATGCTTTTAAAATCTACCATTTTAAGTGTACAAATGTATGAGGTATGGCATGATAATTCAATACACCGACACCGTGTGGGACAGTCAAGTCAGGGTACTTAACATTCCATCTCAAGCATTTTCTAAAAAGTTCCTGATGAGCATGTAATAATTGTGTGTATCTGTGAGGTATGCGTGATGGTTCACAATAAACTAGTGTATATTTTATGAGTAGCCAGATGAGCAGATCCTGAAGGCTCCAAACACAAAGGAATGATGAGACAGAAACATTTATTACTTTGGTCTGATCATCCGCTAGGGAGCAGAAGAGCAGGTGTGAATGTGTCAAATCCAAGGACTGACTGGACCCTGGTACGGGGTGGACCTTCCGGCACAGAAAGCTCAGGCTATGGTGATGAGTCAGTGGAACGAGTTGTCTTTTGGTAGCATCTCTTCATGTTTCATCTCTTGAGATGGTCTTTGCACATTCTGCTCCCTGGGGCTGGTGTGATATAGTCCACAGACTTCTTGGCCAGTGATTGAAAATGCCACAAGTGACCTCTTATCTCTCAGCATCCATAAAGTGCATGTCTTTAGTTTGGGCCCTGCTAGGGTTGGTATTTTACTCCTTGGTGTTCAGGTGAGAGGGAGCCAGGAAGATGAAAAGGAGTAATAGCTGAAGTTCCAGCTCCCTCAAAGCCACCATGACTGTTTCCCTCTCGGTGGGGGTGGGGGTGGGGGTGAGGGTGAGGGTGGGGGCTGGGAGTGGACAGCGGGGCCCTTGGGAATGGGTTCCAGCGAATCCGCCCCCAAGTGAGCCAGGGTTGGAAGGACGTGGTAATGGGGCACTCTCACCTCTTTCACCTGGGATAGTCAAGGTCACACACACAGTGTCAGGGGTAACTGTGGAAGGTGATTGCTTTGGTTCTTGTTTGTCTCCCCGGAAGTTCCTATGCTCTAAGCTTCCCCAGTGGGTTGATGTGGGGATGATAAATTCTTTAAGAGGCGGGACTTAGTGAAAGGTGGTCAGGTGATTGGAAGATATGAATGTATTTCTCACGAGACCCCCGGCATTCTTGTGGGTAGGCTGTTATCCAAAGAGCACTCCTGATCCCTGAGTCTCTCCAGCTTCCTGTCTCACCATGAAGTCTCTCCTCCTTCTACACATGACTGTTTGCCTTTTCACTTCTCTGCCATGTCATATTGTAACCAGGGATTGATATCGTAACCAGAGGACAATACGTCATACTGTGAATGGGGGACCAAACTGATGGGGCTGCCACATCTTGATGTTTCAGCCTCCAAAGCTGTGAGCTAAACCTCCTTTTTTCATAAAGTATCCAGCCTCAGGTATTTTGTTACAACCACAGAAAATGGACTGATAGGGATAAATGTATTTGATTATGATAATCATTTCATGGTACATAAATGTGTTTTACTATAACAGTCATTTCACTGTATGTATATAGATATCAAATTATCATGTTGTATGCCTGATATATATTTTTTAAAAGACACATTCTGCTGCTCAGCAAGATTAATTATAACATACAGCTCCCCTCTTCCCAGACAGGGAGAGCTTCCTTCCCAGAATTAGCAAAGCACACTAGTAGGCTGAGGCATATAAGTACTGTAAATCTCAATGATTATATTTCATATTTCCTGTACAAACTGTGCTAATGACACATTTTCAAGCTCTTCATAGTGATTTAAGGAAAAGGGGGCGGAGAAGAAAAACATGGTCTTTCTGCAGGGGAAGTAATTTCTCAAGAGCATGTGGGAGTGACAAACCTGGCATTAAAGACCCCATGCTGCTATGATTCCTCTTATTCTAGAAGGTGAAAATACAATCAAATTTCAGAGGAGCCAGCTGAAAATATTTCATGTGCATAAATTTATTTTAAATTTTATTGCATCACAGTATACAAGCATTAAACATGGCTTCATGTTGATGACTATTTAAGTGTGAAAATTCATCATTCATGTCAGTACCTTTTGGCTATTTACAAGTAAGGAGTTTCTATGTACTTTATATATCTCTGTATTTGTATGTACATATGTAGGAATACATGACTATACATATGTACACACAGAAATACATCTATGGCCATACACATAGCTATAGATATGTCATATATAATCATCTCCTCAGAAAGATCAGAAATTAAAAAAAGAAAAGGAAAGAAAAAAGTTGTAAACAGGATCTTGTCTGTGTCATTTGGTGACATGGAGTTAGGACCACAAGATGACATTCTAGGAATGTGTGTCCAGGTGTCCAAATATTCTTTTTAGCCCAGTGTCTGTAAAATTCACACGGGATAGAATGCAAAAAAAGGTAGCAAACAGGCTGAAAAACAGGCCCAGTATACAAGTTCCCCTTGGTTTTAAAAACGTGAGAATGGAACTGCCCATAACGTGCATGCTTGCTTGGTCAGGAATGGGCTATGGATAGATAGCGTTTGTGGGCGGGGCTGCAACGCGGCTCCACAGCAGCGACTCCACCTCCTTCCCGGGCCGGGCGCCGACCTGCCTGCAGCTGCTGAGTCTGCAACATGCACTGCGGTTGCATTTTTGTGTCATTCACTTGAATGTGCTTTTTTTGCACAGCCAGGAGAAGTAAACAAAGTTCAGGTCCTTGGCCTGGAAATGAGCTATTACCTGGAAAAAGAGAAGAAGGCATCGAGATCTTATGGACACAGGATGGCTAATGACAACATGGTGGGCAATGGTTACTTACCATGCATCACAGGTATGTAAGGAGTTAGTCAGGGAGGGTAGATATAAACATTGTTATGCCCACTTTTCAGCTGAATAGATTGAGTCAGAAAGGCACCCTGAAGCAATGTGACAATCTGTCAGCTGTGGTGGGAACAGAGAGACAAATGCTTTGCTTGCAACCGAAAATGAGAAATGGCTCCTTTGGGAACAGAGAAGCCAGGAAGAACCCCGAGGATCAGGTACCCGACTTGCAGCCAGGGGAGCCCCAAGGGGTGGATAAGGCCACCCAACTGCTCCTTGGTCCCTGTCCACTGCAGCGCCCAGGAGCAAAGCCCTTTGGTGACATCTGCTGCTCACTCCTCCCAGTGCTGTCTGGGTGTAGTCAGCCTTGCTGGCCCGGAGAGTGGCCACAGCCAGAGCCACGGTGACCAGAACGGGCAGGAGCCTAGAGGCTTGGATCAAGTCACAGAGCCCCCAAGGGTTAAAGCCGGTGTGTCTCCTAAAGGATGGTTTGGTACAACTTCTTTACTTCTGCAAATGCAAAGACTGAGTCTGTGTGAATGCTTGGGGCCAGATCACACAGACAGAGAATGGAAAAGCCAGGTACAGAACCAGGCAAACTGCAACATGGTGCTTAACTGTAGTACAAACCCCTTTACTGCTTAGTAAGTGTCTCCCATGCATTGTCTTAAGTGAACAGCATAGGAATTCTGTCTAATCGGCAGACGCAGAAAAATTAAGTACTTCCCCTGAAGTTACACAGCCAAAGAACAGATCTGGGAAATGGTAAGATTACTAAGTAGCAAAATATGTCTTGCCTTCAGTGAATCCAAAGCCTCCTTGGACTTGAGGATAAGGCCAGTGTTCACCATCTGTCTACCACTTTTATTTCTGTGGGCTTGGGGTCTGGGTTATTTCCTCCAAGTCCACAGTCAGATCCATCTCATAGTGGCCTGCCGGACTGCTAACACCAAGCTGTGCTGATACAACTTTACAAACCTACCAACACACATCTCTGCACGATATCTGTAATATCTTAGCCTATAGAAAAAGCGAAAACCTTATTTTTTCCTGTATATCTCACTTTTCCTTTGGATGTCAAATTTGGAAAATGTGTTCACAGTGTTTTCAATCACATAAGGGAGAGAAAAATTGAAGGGCAAGGAAGGTGAAATCAGTCTTGCAATAATAATAGACTCATAAAGTATCAGATTAGGGAGCTCATTAAACACTTCATTACTGAGAAAGCTAAGGCCCAGAGAAGTTTAGTGGCTTGTCCAAGATCACATAGCTAGTACCTGACTTGCTAGACAGAAAGTGTCAAAACCTTCTGGTAGGATGTGTGGGAACATTATGGAGTTTTCTTACAATGTATTTCATCTTGATCCACTCAACCTGTGGTGGTTAAGCTTAATTGTGTTAGCTTGATTGGCTTGGGAGTCACAGAGGGGATTAGTAAAGCATGCTTGTGGGTGTGTCTGGGAGGGTCATGGAGGCATGACCTTGGGCCATTCGTCTCTGGTGCTGTTCACCTGCTCTACTTCCCAGCCACCAAGGACTCGGAATCTCTGCACCACTGTGCCCTTCTGCCAAGATGTTTCCGCTGTGCAGCCACCTAACCATGGACTGCATCCCCTGGAACTGTGAGCCGAACCTTCTGTTAAGTTGCAGGTGTCCAGAAGTTGTTTCTCAGTGATGTGAAACCTAAATAATACACCACCTTTTTTGACTGAATGTGTATTTGCTAGGTATCATGTACTTCATGTGTGCTGCTAGTTGGAAGAGTAAAATTTACAATCCAGAGATTTCCCTAAAGATGCCTACAACTATTTTGAGGAAGCCTAACAACTATTTGAAGACCACACATTAAAAATACAAATCAGTATATTGCATGCAGTCCATGTGGTTCTGACGGCATTAACTCGAGAAGCTTAGGAGTAAGTCTCCCAGGGTGGGGAGTCAGGTGGGAGGGGCTTCCAAGAGGTTATGGTACATCACGGATTGTCCTGGGAGGAAAGAGGATGACAGAGGCAAGGCCACACTGGGTGGATAAAATGCTGGCTTCCAAGCAGGAGCATATTGCACTGGGGATATTAAAGCAAGCAGCTTGGCTGGAGTAGGAGGGAGAGGAAGGTTTATTCCAGCGAACATCTGGGCTAGCTCATGAAGACCTTACTCCAGGCTGGCGTCTGACAGGGAGGCAGAGACGAGGGGCAGGAGGTACGCGCATGCAGGAGCACTTATTAAAGAAGAAACCAATCGGCTTTGCAGGGCAAGATCAAGATGCAATTTTTAAAGAAGAAATCAATTGGTTCTGGA